CATTGATGTTGTGCATTTACTTCTGAATTGGCTTTTATTGTTTGATTTTGTAACTGGCAAGATACACTTTTATCTGGAAAGTAAATGTAAAAGTAAAAGTTTACCTTTTTGATTGATTCTGGAGTCTTCCGAATTCATTGTACTTACTAGATTAAGTGTAGTCTGCGCTACCTTTATTATTCAACATAGTTAGATTTGATTAAGAGACTCATTTGACTGTACAAAGCTCCTTAGGCATGAAAGTATGAAGATATTTTAATCATCTAATTACTAAAATTAGCAAGTTTTTGAATTGGCTGAATCAACATTTTCTTTAGGATGAGTGAGCAGTTGGCAACCTGTCTATTTGACTATTAGTTAATCCTGCATCCTTTGACTAACTTCAAAGTGTCGACATACTGTCCGTGAAAAGACACGCAAACCCAGGGCGTGAAACTTTGAGCGGCGTCTGGTCCATAATGAACGTGCAATTAGGAATATCAGACCCAAGAAAATATCAAAATCTAAATTGTATCACAACTACTAATATGATCAGCTAAAAAAATATAAATGGCAAATTTAGAGTAATCAAAATTTGAATCAGATTAAATTATGCATAAAGTCAGAAGTAAAATTGGTCAATAAATTTTAATTAATTAAAATAAGAAACACCCGGAAAGGCATACACGCAGAACTCCTTCGACCACGACACTGGATTTCGTCATTGGGTCGGTGATTGCAATCTTACACAACCTTGTTTATGCATTATTTAAAATGTGCTTATACAAATTCCCAACACCCTTCAGTCCTATAATAGGGCTACCTTCACTCATTCCCTTGTTATAAAAAAATGCTATAATGCCAACAAATGTTTCTGAATGTATTATTTTTGTATCTGCAGATGAATGTACAGACTGAACTCAGACGGAAGTATGTAAATCTCATCAGATGCCCCTGTGCGGTTCAGGAGTAATATCAAAAAGGAGCATTCAAATGAACTTTAACGAACATCCATATCTTACACTAATGTCGAACCACATTTGCCTTTATGGAGTCTTTAATCTTTTTATATATGTAAGTAGACAGGTTCAAGATAAGGTTGTCTGTTAGGTTTTTGCAGTGGCCTTTTTTGAGCTGCAAATACTATAAGATGTGCTCGTATAAGAGGTGTTCAGTCTAATCAAATGTACAAAACTAAAATACTCAGCCAACTCAGTTATTTATCATTTATACTAACTTTTGTGATATGTGTGTATGTATGTTTTGTGGTAGTGCGATGTAATTACATTCAAATAATCCAACTCAATTCATTCATTCATTTTCTTGTCGGCTTAGTCCCTTTATTAATCCGGGGTTGCCACAGTGGAATAAACCGCCAACTTATCCAGCAAGTTTTTTTACGCAGCGGATGCCCTTCCAACCGCAACCCATCTCTGTTAAACATCCACACACACACTTATACACTACGGACAATTTAACACAATCTACATTGTAAAAGTGCTATAGAAATAAAGATGATTAGCCTACCCAATTCAGCTGTACCACATGTTTTTGGACTGTGGGGGAAACCGGAGCACCCGGAGGAAACCCACACGAAGAACATGCAAACTCCACACAGAAACACCAACTGAGCCGAGGTTCGAACCAGCGACCCAGCAACCTTCTTGCTGTGAGGCGACAGCACTACCGACTGTGCTACTGCCTCGCCCCAACTCAATTCAATCATCTTTATTTCTATAGCACTTTTACAATGTAGGTTGTGTTAAATCAGCTTAACATAGAAGTTCTAGTAAACTGAAACTGTGTCAGTCCAGTTTTCAGAGTTGAAGTTCAGTTTAGTTCAGTTCAGTTCAGGTCAGTGTGGTTTCATTTTCACTGCTGAGAGTTCAAACACTGAATAGCAAATCCATCGCTGTGCCCAAAGTCCCAAACCAAGCAAGTGGCGACAGTGGCGAGGAAAAAAAACTTCACCAATTGATGAAAGTTAAGGAAAAAACCCTGAGAGAAACCAAGCTCAGTTGGGCACAACATTTCTCCTCTAGCCAAACTTCTTGTGTAGAGCTGCAGTCTAGGCGCCGGGGGCTGGAGAACACCAGATATAATGTTTTACAGATCTAATTGAAGGGTAGAAAATGTTATCGTTTGATTTTTGTGTTTTTAATTTAAAGAAAGATTCTGAACAATGATTTTTAATTTGGTCAGTTGTGATATTTGCATTTCATGTAAAAGAAAAAAAATTATATGGTCTTGAATGCCACTGCATGGATTAATATTTAAATCAATATCTTTTGACAGCCGTGACTTAAAAAAAAAATGTATGTGGGAATATCAGACAATTAAAACTGAAAATCAAAACTTTAAAATCCACATTGCTGGTGTGTATAATTTAATAATGAACAATCACAGAAGCAAACCACTTGCAATATCACAGTTTACAATAATCATGGATATTTTTCATGTTATAATGTTTGTTTTAAAGTTTCCTCTAACAGAAAATCAAATAACCATTTCAAATGTCGTAACTAAAATATATAATATTAAAGATGAGCGGGTGAAATAAAATCAGTGATTCAGTAGCTGTTTCCATCCAAAGTTGTGTATTAAATTTATGCGCAAAACTAGATTAATGCATAAAAGATATGCAAATAAAGCAGCGTTTCCATCTAAGTGGTTAAAGAGAACAAAATCGTCACTTCCTGATTAACTGGTGCCAAATAAAAACAAACAAAACAAAAAAACGAAATTTGCTGAGTTAGGAGAAGCTGCATGAATCTTTTCTTTATTAAATAAATGACTTGTGCCTCAGAAGACAATGCTGACACGCAATAAATCACACATTGGCATTTGAAGTCATGAGACATGGAGCACAGACAAGTGTATCTGTCTGCGGACTGCAAGGTGGGGGCATAACATGAAGGGGCGTAACTTGTAGTAAGTTAAATGAGCGTAACTTGCAGTTATCAAGATCCCATTGAACCATGCAAGATGTCACAACGAGATGTTTTTGGCAAGGTGGTGGAAATACTTACCAGAGAACATTTTCACCAAATGTTTTGATGAGTTTTCTCCGAATTTATTTACAACCTATTTGACATGTTATATTCATTCATTTAGCAACTCCACCCTGTATCTTGCTGACTTCTTCATTCATTTTGTCATGACAGTTAGCCTACACGGCGGCGCCCTCTGTGGTTGCAAATAACAGTACAATGTTGAACGCGTCAAATTTGAAAGTCTCCGCAACTTGCTGTACGTTAATAACTGTGATGATTGGGCTAAGGGTTGGGGAAGTAGTAGATTTTAGTAACTATGATGGTTAGGTTAAAGGTTGGGGTAGATGTAGATGTTAATAACTGATGGTTGGGTTAAAGGTTGGGGAAGGTGTAGACCAGGGGCACCAATCTCGGTCCAGGAGGGCTGATGTCCCTGCAGGGTTTAGCTCCAACTTGCCTTAACACACCTGCCTGGGTGTTTCAAGTATATCTAATAAGACCTTGATTAGCTTGTTCAGGTGTGTTTTATTAGGGTTGGAGCTAAGATCACTAGGACACCGGCCCTCCATGAACAAGTTTGGTGACCACTGGTGTAGACTTTGAAGGTGTAGACCTGTTTGTCTCCTATAGCAAGGTAAAATCATGAATACACATACAAAGTTGTGATGGAAACTGGTAGAAAAAAAATTGGAAATATTATATTTTCATCTTCTTATCCATCTGTGCCTCAGACAATGATATTCTTTCAGACACAGAAGTTTCAGTTTACAAAGAAGAGAAGGGAATCGGAATAAGAAAGAACAAACAGCAAATAAATAAATAGAAACATAACATTAAGATGTGAACCATTAGGGGTGAAGAGTCCAACGTGAACTGAACACTTGTTTATTCAAGAAAATGCACAAGTGCAGTTTCACATCCTGATACAAAGATTCTTAGAAACAAATATAACCAGAATTGTGTAAAATAAAAGTAGAATGTACTGTATATATTTAATGCGTTTATTTCCTAATTAAAAAAAAAAGTTTTGTGATTTGTCACAGCCATGTATTGCAGAACAAATACACATAAACACATTCAGATACAAAACTAAATTAAATTAATCCATTTTTTTTTGTTTTTTTGGAGTTAAAAAAAGCTCACTTCCTCATATTTTGCTTTAAATATTGTTGTTGTCCTCATACTGCACCTCTTGTCTGATCAACTTCAAGCTCCCGAAGAACCTTCTCCAGCCTATTTAAAGGTAAGATAACACGATAACACTTCAGTTAAGTATTTTATTAAGATATTCACTGTTTATTAGCACTTATAAAGTGCTATATTGTTTAATATCTGTAACAGGATAGTGACTCTGACAACAGGGGTGCGGATCCAAGTGCAGGTTTATTAGAATGGTCAGGCAAGCAATGCCCAAAACAGGGCCAAACAGATGTATGCAGGCAATCCTGTAACGTAGTCAAAATAACAGGCAGATGGTCAGAGGCAGGCAGCAAACAGGAATAAACAAATAAATGAGGTGAGGATTAAAAACATGCCAAAGTAAGACAAAGGAAAACCTATTGTAGAGTCACAAACAGTAGACAAGACTCAGCAACATTGAATGTGTTTGGGCTGCTTCTGTAGCGCAGTAATCAGTCCCAAAAGCACTATCAGCTGTGAGAGTCTAATCAGTGGAGACTTGGAGCAGGTGTGTGTGTGTGTTGCATGACCGAATATGTAGTCCATAACAAGGCGGATTTTTAGTTTGTGTGAATGTGAGTGTTTACCAGCGATCTTTGAATGGTAGATCGCTGGTGATTGTGACAATGTGACAACATCCCAACTACTACCTCAATAACTTTTAATAAGTGGCTAATTAGTCATTTATTGAGCTAAAGGTCATAGTTAATGGTTTGTTAATAACATTAATTGTACATTAAAATAAAGTGTGATTGAATAAAAATATCATAATATATGCAATGCATAGGTAGTTTTTATTGAATGGAATGAATATCCATTTCTTTGTATCTTCCAGATCATCAGACTAAATGAAGATGAAGATTGAAGCTCTTCTCCTCATTGTAGCTGTTCTACAGGTGAGCTTGTGTTCTAGTATCAATATTATTACACACATCAACACTGATGATCTGATCTTTATGATTCCTGTCACTGCAGGATCACAGAGTTACTGCTGACGAAGGACAGATATATCCACTGGATATGGCACTAAATTCAGTCGATGATCAATATGTCAAATGTACTGGGCAAATGGAAAATATGGTGGACAATTACTATTTAGAGACAGAACAATCTAGCTATCCTAAGTTCAGAACGGCTTGGGAAGATGGTAAAAGAAACGCTGTAAAACCATCCCCAGAAAATCCACTGAATCGTAATCATTTAATTGCCATTTACGTGTACACTGACAGGACTGTATATGCAGATTTCAATAACGATGTACGAATTGGTAAATCTACATATAAAAATGGCAACTACAAATGGAATTCGCTTCACTTTCTGTTAACAGATGCCGTGCAGATTCTGAAAACAAGCCAAGATAACTGCTACAAAACTTACCGTGGTGCAAACGTGAACATAAATGATCAAAATGTTCTGAACACAGAGGTTCGTTTGGGCTCTTTCGTTTCGTCTTCTACAGATCCTGAAAAAACAAGGCCTTTTGGGAAAACGTCTTGCTTTGAGATCCGCACTTGTAAAGGTGCAAAAATTTTTAAATATTCCAAGTTTCCTCATGAGAAAGAGGTGCTGATTCCTCCATATGAGACGTTTAAAGTCACTAAAATCCAGAGAAAAACAGAAAACAAAAATCTCTGGTGGTGTGACTCTGTGTTCACCTTGGAAAGCTATAGTACAAGAAGTGACCTGAACTGTGCTGTAGTCAATGATCTCTCGAAGACCTTTAAAAGTACTGTGAAATGCAGGCTGAATCGTTTTAATTTAAATGAATATATGAATTATATTTATTCTACAAGAATTCATTATTTACTTCACTACACATGAGTTATATACAGTAGTCAACACTTTAAGTGGATCAAAAACTTTTCATCAAAGTTGTCCTAAAACCTTTGGATAACGCTCATTCTTGTCCTTGGACAATTTTGTAAAACATTTTGATTTACTTCAAATGTTTACTTCTGTATGCTGTGGGTACGGAAATTATTCATACCCCCTTAAATCTTTCACTCTTTGTTATATTGTAGCCATTAGCTTAAAGTTCATTTTTGCCCTCATTAATCTACACACAGCAGCCCATATTGACAAAAAAAAAACAAAAAAAAAAACAGAATTGTTGTCATTTTTAATTAAGATTTATTAAAAAAGAAAAACTGAAATATCACATGGTTCTAGGTATTCAGAGCCTTTGGTGTGACACTCATATATTTAAAACAGATGCTGTCCATTTCTTCGGATCATCCTTGACATGATCCCTACACCTTAAAGCTGCGATCACACTTGACTTTTCTCCCCATAGACTTCCATTCATATGCACGCTAATGCGTCAGACTGGAAACGCAGGGTCATGCATCAAGTTTCGCGGGTTGCTGCGGTGCAACGTTCAAGCTTGGTGACCTGCGAAATTGTATCACTTGACTGCGTGAGACCAATCGAGGATCAAAACATGACCACTCTGGACAGAAATTAAAAACATAGACCAATCGCTCACGGTTTTTAATGTCTAATAATCTTGTTTAATCCTGCCCCTTTTTGCATCGCCGTACGACAGAATTTTGCACACACAAACTTTAGTGTGACTGCAGCATTACTTGAGTCCAACTGCGTTTGATTATACTGATTAAAATTGATTAGGAAAACCACAATATAAAGCCGCGTTCACACTGCACTTTTCTCCCCATATACTTTTTATTCATACGCAAGCAAATGCGTCAGATCAGAAACGCAAGCTTGTGCAACAAGTTTCACAGTTCACTGCATTGCAAAGTTCAAGCTTTTTAAACTCTGACCTGCAAAATTGCAGTACTTGACTGCGTGAGACCAATCGAAGATCAAAACATGACCTCTCTGGACAGAAATTTAAATCATGGACCAATCACTTGCATTTTTTAAAATTGTCTAATCATCTTGTTTAATCCCGCCTTTTCGCAGCAAGCTTAAACTCTAGTGTGACCACAGCATAACAAAGAGTGAAAAAATTAAGGGGGTCTGAATACTTTCTATTCCCACTGTATATGAATTAATTTATTTTATTTTGTTTTGTGAGCTGAAACATGTTTAATACTGTTAAATAAATAAAAAAATACTCAAACTTGACTTTTGAAATCTTTTTTCTCCTATCAAATACATGCACACACATACAAATAGTATCTATATTTCTTTTGTTAAACACTATATTTTGTTTCAAAGATTTGTTTTTTATTATTATTATTAATTTTACTGTACATTAATAAATTGTACTTTTTACAATTTTCAATCAAGCTTGAGAGTAAATTGTACAAAAAAATTGAAATTAACCCTGATTCAAAAGTCAATAAATAAATAAATGAGCAGCAACATGGCTCAGTGGTTAGTACTGTCGACTCACAAGAAGGTTGCTTGTTCGAGTCCCGGCTGGGTAAATTGGAATTTCTGTGAGGAGTTTGCATGATCTCCCAGGTTTTCAGGTTTCCCCCAGTCCAAACACATGTGTTATAGGGGAATTGAATTGAAACTACATTGGCCGTATTGTGTATGGGTGTTTACCACTCTGAGCTAGTTAGATGTTCAAATTAAATTTCCCGATTCACAAACAGCAGTTACTCAATTTGTTTGACAAATGGTGACTAGATTAGTTTGATGGATTGTGAATTAAATTTGTTTAAATGTTTTTTTTTTTATCATTATTATTATTACTATTAAAATCAAATCACAAATATGGCTAATTAACTGTACATCAGGGTGGCCAAACTCTGTCCTGGAGAGCCAGAAGATAATCAGGCACACCTTGACTAGCTAATCAAGCGCTTGCTAGACTTTCTAGAAACATCCGTGCAGGAGTGTTGAGACAAGTCGGTAATAAAATCTGCAGGACACCTGCCCTCCAGGACACCGGCAAGACACTGGCCCTTCAGGACCGAGTTTGGACACCCGTGCTTTAACTTATTTTTTTTTATTTGTGAATTTATTGCTTTTATTTTACATTTAAGATAAAGGTTCCTTTAAATATTAAAATATATGAAATATACTTTTTGTATATATGTGCAGTTGAAAAAAGAAGTTTACATTCTTCCTGGCAGAAATGGTGTAACTGAGTCAGATTTTTCTTGCTCGCACAAGCTTTTTCAACTCTGTCCACACATTTTCTATAGGATTAAGTTCAGGGCTTTGTGATGGCCACTCCAAAACATTCACTCTGTTGTCCTTAAAGCACGTTTTATTTAGTTTGGCAGTATGCTTAGGGTCTTGGAAGACCCATTTGTGGACAAGTTTTAATGTCCTGGCTGATGTCTTGAGATGTTGCTTCAGTATTTCTACATAATGTTCTCTCTTCATGATGTCTTCTATGCTGTGAAGTGGACCAGTCTCTCCTGCAGCAAAACAGCTCCACAACATGATGCTGCCACCCCCGTACTTCACAGTTGGGATGGTGTTTCTAGGCTTGTAGGCTTTCCCCTTTGTCCTATATATATATATATATATATATATATATATATATATATATATATATATA